TGTTTGCCATTCTAAGTTGTATAAACAAAAAAAAAAAAAAAAATAGAAGAGCGAATATATCGAATGTGGGAGAAATTACATTTGTTGTTGTCAAGCGTTCAGGGCAAAGCTTATGAATTGATTAAAAATTATCCTGTTACGAATGAAAAAAAATATATGAATGCTTATGAAACTCTTACGAAATATAATAGGCAGCGATAAATCAATACAACTTATTATAACAAAATGTTATGCTGTGACCCTATTGATTTTAAATCAAGTTTCGAACTTGAACGTATCGTATGTAAATTTTCAGAAAATTTGGCCATATTAAAAAATATAAATTAAGTACCAGATAAAAATTTTATGCTGTTCCATTTGTTGTGGTCAAAACTTGATAAATTTACAAAGGAAGTAGTCGATAGCACAGACTCAGGAATTGATTACTGTTAACTCACAATTAGACCAGTTACATTTATCTGATTCTGATTCCATTAAAAATCCTCATCAGTAATTTTACAATCTTGTTAAGCCGCCGATCATCCAGTTATCAAGTTGGCTCCTATGAGCCTGATATGATAATACCACGATACCTTTACAAGTATTATTCATAGCAACAATTCTATACCAGATATCAACAAATTCCATTATCTAAGATCTTCATTGAAGGGATGCGCTGCTGTGGTAATACAATCCATTGATTTTTGGGCTGCTAATAACAGAGTTGCATGGCAATTATTATGTGATAGGTTCAGTAATCGATGTTTATTGATACAAAATAATCTCTCCGCATTATTTGTTACTTCTATTACTAAGAAGACTTCAGCGTCTATACGTAAAATAATTGATGATTTTAATAAAAGTTTCCATATATTAGAAACGTTAAAGGAACCGATTAAACATTGGGGCACTCTCCTTATTCATATAATATCAAGTAAATTGGATTAAAAAACTTATCACAAATGGGAGGCATTTAGGTGTCAAATAAATAAATCAAAAACTGTCACTTTATTTATTAATGACATTTTTACAAAAGAGAGCTGATTTACTCGATGAGCGCAGTTCTCGCAACGTTTTGTTATCTACAGTGCTTATTAAGTTGTGTGACGTCGACGGGAACGAACGCATTGCCTGTGCTGTGTTAGACAACAGTAGCACGTCATGTTTAATGACAGAAAGTATTTATAATAAATTGAAATTACCATTTAAGCATGTCAATAAATCTGTTTTAGGCATTAATAATTCAGTTTTATATGTTAGTATGTGTGATGTCACCCTAAAATCAGTAAATTCAGACTATTCAACAAGAATTCAATGCTTTGTTTTGTCATTCATTACTGACGACGTGCCATGTTGTTAGTTCGATACTTCAGGTCTTGATATTCCAAAGAATTTAGTATTCTTTGGAATATCTACTTCTCTATTACTACTTATAGATTGGTGCTGATGTATTTTGGGATATATTGGGTTCACAAAAGATTGAATTAGGATTAGGAAAACCTATTCTATATGAAATTAAACTAGGCTGGCTAGTTACAGGCCCAATTAAAGCTCATATAAGCTTTTAACATTACTCATGTTTAATGTAATTTTTTACAAATTTCATTAAATGAGTTTGAGTGTTCTTATAATAACAATGACCTTCAAAATTAGTTGAGATGCTTTAGTAGTTTAAAACGTAAAGTACACTCGTCATATTAATTTTATGTAGAAAGGTTGTTTTAAAACTGTTTGAATTTATTTAATTTAGAAAATGGAATAGAATATTTTGATACTATTTTAAGAAATTTTTTCGAATATGATAATTGGTATTTATTATCTCTTATACGCAGATTGTTTTATTAATTCAATTCAACACGTATTCAATTATATATGCCCGTCTATATTTGTACTACGTCATTGTTAAGAGTTGTGATTAATGTCAGTAGTCTTAGTACATAAAGACTTATGGATGGATCTTATATCTCTATTTTCTATCTTTCTATCACATTTATATTTAAATTAGATTTAGTTGTACATGAATTTTATATTGGAAGGAATATAAAGTAATTTTTTTTGTAAAATATATTTAATTAATTAAAGTATGCACCGTTGTTATCTATGCACTTTTGACATCTCATAGGTAGTTCATTGACCTTTTTACTAAGAAAATCACGGAGGCGAGAATCGGCAAATTCTTTGGAGGCGATTTGGAGTGTCACATCGGAGTTGAATTTTTTCCTTGTAAGAAGTCCGAATTCCGGAAAAAATGGTAATCTGTTGAAGTAAGGTTGGAGTACGATAGATGTCGCACACATTCCAATTATAGCTCGTCTAACTTAGTAGTTGTTTGTTGTGCACTGTGTGGTCTTGCGTTATCGTGAAGCAGAGTGGCCTAGACCGATTGACCAATATTGGTTGTTTAGCAGCGAATTCTTTTTTCATGGTTTACAGTTGCTGATATTAGATATCTGCCGTAATCATTTGGCTAGATTTTATATAGAAAGTTGTAGTGTGCGACACTTGCGATAGTCCACTAAACACTCACAAGTAACTTTTACTGAGTAAATTTTTTTTTAAGGCAGGATTTGGTTGGGTCTCCAGGGTTCTACCATTGCGATGATCGCTTGCATAATATATGCATATCAAATCTCTGCTCCAAAAATTTTGCAATAAAAATATAATTGGTTTTTTTTAACAATAACTCCGTTAATTTTTAATATATCAGCTTCATTCAAAAACCATTTGAAAGGTAATTTCAAGATCTATAAAATCGTCTTAAATAAGATTTTAAAAGCCCTTATTTTTTAAAAAAATAAAGGGTTCCGGTTACATGGTTCTCGCAGTAAAAGTTAGGCTTTAAACGTCTCTATCTCAGTTATTTTTCATGCTATAAAATATAAAAATAAAAAAAGAACCAAAATATTTTTTAAAAAAGGACAAAAATTTCGTCCTTTATCATTTTTACCAATATTTTTGATTTTATTAAATCATACTTTTTTTTTTAAAAATAAGTATTCTAACCTGGGCAAAATATTTGAGGTCATCACTTATTCAGAGAAAAAGAAAGTTTTTTAGCCATAACCATAAATTTAGTTCATTAACCACAAATTAGAATTTTTGTGAAAATGGTGAAGGTTTTGTTTTCGTTTGTTCCTAAAATTCGAAAGTGTTATTTTAGTTTTATTATAACTTGCTCAATTTTGATGCTATTAACTTTGTACAGTGCTCATTGGAAAGGTATTTTCGAATACTTTAAAGAGTGTTTAGGAAGTATATATATCATAAAATGCATCGGTTTCCCGTTATTTAAGTTTGAACACTTAGATTTAAGTACTCGCCGAAAAAAAAATATTTATACAATTACCTATAGTTCACTTCGAATTAATATTAGAAGGTTTTTCAAAATAGGGATTTGTTGGTTCTTTTATTACCTTAAATTTTGGTATGACACATTTTTTTTTGTAAAAACTCAGCTTTTGAGTTAAGAAAAACCGTTTTGAAACATGAATTTTTATCACGAAAAATCACAATCTTTGATCTTCAATAACACAGAAAATATCGATCTATTTCAAAACTTTATATAACAAATTTTACTTAGAATTTGTCTCTCTATTTATTCCTAGGGCTATTTTAATTAAAATAATTTTCACCTCCGAGAAGGGGTGGCATCTACACCCAGGGCAAAAGCGCAAGTTGGCACTGTCCCTTTTTTCTTAAGGTATCCCCCACCTACTCATCAATTTTCATGGTAGTGAGAAAGACTCTGTTTTCTGCGCTTAGCCTCTCATTTGGGCCGTTGTGCGTATGAGTCGTGGCTAGTATAGCCAACCTAGCTCCGCCCAGAAGCGCAGAAGCTTCCTGGGTTCTTCACAGGCCTCACGGAGCGACCTCACCGTTCCAAAGATTTCTAAACGTTGATGGGCCACAGCCTCACATTCCAGGATTACGTGAGCAGCCGTTTCTTCAGCGTCGAAACAGCCTCGACATAGAGGGCTGTCTGTGGGTCCTATTGTGTATAAATGTTTGTTTAATGGACAATGGCCCGTTTTTGTCCCTATCATTATTTTGAGGTTTTTTCTATCTAGATGTAATAAACGTTTTGATAATCGTTGATTCAACGTAGGTACGGCCAATTTTGATTGTCTGCAATCAGTAGTCTGTATCCATCTTTGGTTTTGTATGTCAGCGGATCTTTGACGAATCCACATTCGAAATTGCGAGAACGGAAGAGGAAGAAGTGGATACGGGCCTACCACCCTCGTTCCTGATCCTCTTCTAGCCAGTTCGTCTGCGGCATCGTTACCATAAGATCCACTGTACCCTCTTGTCCATTGGAGGATAACTCGGTTATTGGAAGATATCCTATCCAGTGAATGGTGGCATTCAATTATAAATTTGTTGTTTGTCTTGTTGTTTGGTAATGCTTTTAGTACTGCTGCGCTGTCAGATAAGAATCTAATGCTAAAACCATTTATTCCTAGCTTAATTTTCATGGTAATCGATGGAGATTCTACGAAATCGGAGGTGAAAAGCTTCATTGACTGTATTACTGAACTCAGTAGTAAATAATTAAAATCATACTTTTAAATAATAATTTAATAAATAATATTTACAAAAAAGTTTATTTTTACAAATTAATTAAGTACAGTAACACCCTGAATCTAGACTATCTTAAAATAATATCACTTCAATTACAAAAATACATTGCTCAATATTTAAACAAAAAATAAAATTAAAATAAATTATCGAATGGAAAATCTCATCTAATATTCAATTATAAACGTCAATAGTTATAATAAAGTTTTTAACAAAATTAAAATGACTAGAATTTTGAATCAAATTTTAAGAAAACTTATCAATAAACTTATCAACTACGAGTACTTACATTATCTAAACATCATTAAACACAGCCTAATATTTGCTAATTAACGATTATAAATTCAAATCAACCGTTGAATTCTAGGTAACAAGTCAGTATTAAACAAATTTATATGTATAAGAACAAAAATAACACGATCTGTTATTTAACACAACTAGGGGATTAATTTTAAGAAATACTAAAATTTTGTTTCAGATATTTGGTAAATTAGGCACATGCCTAAATAAATGAATATAAATACAAATGGAATAGCAAACACATTTTCGCTGTAGCTTGAAATATTAAATAACAATAGGTACTTACTGTAATTCGCGTTCCTCTAAACGCCTTATAATTGCGGGCTTAATTTTAGGCCAGCCTCGACTATGCAAGCCCCGACCAGTAATAAAAAAAAGTCGACGAGATTTTGAGGCCCGAATATCTCGACCAAGGTCTTCCTTCATGTTTTGAATATGCGTGTCGATGAATAAATCGAGGGCCTCTTTGGCTTCATCGACACGCAAGTAGTGGAAGTCGATGGTCGAGTCATCGTTGTTACTGGAGTGGACCTGCATACAAAACGATACAAAAAGTTAATTTATTTAATTTTAATTATCCTTCTTACTTACTTGCATAATCAAGGCGGCAGCTATACTATTATACTGCTCATATTGGGATTTGTGGAATGCACTCTCATCCGAGTAATATCTGGCCACTTCCGTCATCCCGCGACGCGTGAATTGCTCCGCCTTCTGATAACTCCTGCAAACGTAATTTCATTGAAAATTATAAACATATATACAATCGCGGCTGTAACCCCTGGTCGGGTAGACAGGCTCGTTTGTTGGTATTATTGTACATATAAGGTTCAAAATATGAACGATTCTTCTCTTATAATCTATTGGTATTTTATATAAATAAATACTTTATTATTGTTATTTGTCTTTTTGCATTTTATTTTCATTACCCATATGCTCCGAACTTGCTTGCGTGAAATAAGCTAAAAATATCTTATGTGTTTATTTAAGATAATTATGTTCTCTGTGAATATCTCTAAGAAATACTAAAGTTTAGTTTCAGATATTTGGTAAATAAGGAATATGCCTAAATAAATGAATAAAAATACAAATGGAATAACATATAAAATAACAATAGGTACTTACCGTAATCCGCGTTCCTCTAAACGCCTTATAATTGCGGGTTTAATTTTAGGCAAGCCTCGACTATGCAAGCCCCGACCAGTAATAAAAAAGAGCCTACGGGATTTTGAGGCCCGAATATCTCGACCAAGGCCCTCCTTCATGTTTTGAATATGCGTGTCGATGAATAAATCGAGGGTCTCTTTGGCTTCATCGACATACAAGTAGTGGAAGTCGATGGTCGAGTCATCGTTGTTACTGGAGTGGACCTGCATACAAAACGATACAAAAAGTTACAATAAAAGTTTGTAAACAGAAATGAGCGTGCCATTGAAAAATCTATCTGTACGCAGTTTCCTTTACACTGTAAACATTATTAATTTACATTTATGATTCAAACTTATACCATTTCAAAATTATATAATAACTTCTTAGAACTAATGGTACTTTGATGAACGATATCGAATTTTTCCCTTATTTCATTGAACGATTGATATATCCGATGAATAGGATTATTTTGTGACACATTATCATTGGTTGATGGAACACTAAATAGTTGGTCGAGTGTGTCTAAAAGAGTGTTTCCGTACAATCAAGTACAAAGACGCTGTTATATTTTTATTTAAATAAAATTTAAGTAGGTACTCATTAAATTTTAATTAAATAAGGTATCCTTTACGAAGTTATTGTCATGTGATAGCAATTTAAAAGCTAATAGCAATATTTACGAAATGTGATCAAGTTAATTCTGTTTTAATTATCCTTCTTACTTACTTGCATAATCAAGGCGGCAGCTATTCTATTGTACTGCTCATATTGTGATTTGTGGAATGCACTCTCATCTGAGTAATATCTGGCCACTTCCGTCATCCCGCAACGCGTGAATTGCTCCGCCTTCTGATAACTCCTGCAAACGTAATTTCATTGAAAATTATGAATATATATACAATCGCGACTGTAACCTCTGGTCGGGTAGACAAGCTCGTTTGTTGGTATTATTGTACATATCAGGTTCAACATATGAACGATTCTTGTCTTATAATTTATTGGTATTTTATATAAATTAACACTTTACCATTGTTATTTATCTTTTCGCATTTTTATTTACACTACCCATATGCTCCGAACTTGCTTGCGTGAAATAAGCTAAAAATATCGTATGTGTTTATCTAAGATGTCCTCTCTGAATATCAAACTTCTTTCAACACTATTCAGCCCTTAAAGCGTGATCTATATTTTTTTTTATTAAACACCAAGAAGAATAAACAACTAGAAAAATATATATATTAAAAAAATGGGTACTGTATCTGTATCTAATATATGATAAAATATAAACAACCGGAAAGATGGTTTAAAACAATTAAATGTGCATCGACACTTTATAAAAACTTTCTCTTCTGCGATTATAAACATTTTAGTAGTAATCCAAAGAATTTTTCTAAAATAACATTTTATTACGTGAACAAAAAGATATAACTTACAAATTACTGCGCGTAAAATGTTTTGCGGCTTCTTCGCGATAACTCTTGGTAATGGACATATCCACCTTCTCGGCCTTAAGTAATAATGCCCATTTCACTTCTCCGCGATCCTGTTTTGAACAACGCAGTTGTTATAATAACATTATTATTAACATATATAAGAACATTAGCAATGATTATTGTGATGTCAGTTTTTTTTTTGTATCAGTATGAAATTGTAATATCCGAGAGTATGTATTGTATGTAACGTAATGTGAATGTATAAATTCAATAGCATTTTTTGATTGTCTGTCTGTTTGTAAAGATTTATTGTACATTCACATTTGACACAGATATCAAGTTATAAAATAAATCACAACGTACACAGGCGGGCGTATTCCTTAAAAGGATTTTAGCATGACCAGAATTTGAAAGAAGTAAGTAGTTGTAACGATATATACATATCGAGCCTTTTCAGGAAGAACATCGTAACCGCCATTTTGCATATTTTACAGGAGAAGGTTTTTTTTAAATATTTCTCAAAATATTTATAGCATCAATTTGAAATTTCTACTAAGTGTTATGTGGGCACCTCCCTATTAATTCAAATATTAAGATTTGTCTCACTACTCTAAAATCACATACATTTGTCGCTTACGTTAAAACTGATGACTGTTATTAGGTAGAGCTGATATGAGTATGTCGATTACGATAATTCCTAAATAGCATGAAATAATAGAAATAATTTTTTGTGAAGTTTTTTTTAACTATATTTACGAGATACGGTGACAGACAGAGACGGACAAAGTGTCAGAAGTACAAAAAAAGTAAAAAAAAAATTAATCATTAATCACTTCTAAGTGAATTGGCTTTATTAACAAAATGAAATACCAAAAAAGATATAACTCAGTCGCCGTTTTTATTAATCTCGTTCTCTTGTGTTTTTATCGTAGGGCAAATCCAGATATTCTTTTGCATATACTTCTGGTATGACACCTTTTTAGCACATTTTCTTTAAATCTTCGTATTTTGCCTTCGAAATGGGATTTTTTTCAGTGTTAGCAGTATTCGGTTCACGAATGACTTGTTGATTGAACATTAACATCTTGTTCGGGTCCATTATAGTCGTATTTAAGATAAAATTTGTCGCCTTTATCAAATCTAGCGTTACGCAGCTTGCTTGTATGTATTTTAATTTTGTTTGGTAAGAAGGCTGTTGCATAGGAATTCCAGTCTTTAATTTCACTATTTTTTAAAAGAATTGTCTCATATTTTTTGGATTAGTTCGAGCATTTCCAATCAAAGTTTGCCATTCAGATAGTGCCTTAATGGTTCTTTTCTGTACAAATTCTTCTATTGCCGCATGCACAGAATCTACTGGCATCATACATCTGACATATCGTATGCAGAAATAAGAAAGTTTATAGTCAGCTTTTCAACAAAACTCGCATGATATTGCATGAAATAATACAATATTAAAATCATGGTTTTATTTTTATTTTGTCCTGCACAACTATCACAGTATAATGCAATTTCATTTTGAGTCCTTCTCTCGTCAACCATTTTAAGGTATTTAAAGATAACAGTACAGATTTAATTACTTCTTTTCGCTTTCGTTTCATTCCAAAGATAACAAAATGCAGATCTGGTACCGCTTTCATAAATGCTTTCATTATAATAGGCAAGCTTTTGAGTATAGTAGAAATTTACACTTTGACTGTGAGGTGTTGTTAAGACCTTTTTGAGATCAAAGCTCGCACATAAAGTTTCTGTTGTCTGCTTATTTTTTTAATATCTAGAAATAGCTTTAATGATCTTCCTTTGTCCTTAATGTGATTCTTGTAAGCAATTGATTCTATCGTTTTTTTCTTTCTTCATCATTCAAATTCTTTATTCTCTCACATTGACCACATTTATCTTTCTTTGGTAAGTGAGACCCTAAGTTAAATTCAGTTTTAAATATTTTTCTAAACTTTTGATAACTTACTGCACCTAAATCTTTCGTTTCATCATCTTTAAAGTAAAAGTTTCTATATAAATAAGTCACATCCCTAAATTCAGTTGGTAAGCACAATTTATTACTATTGTTTCTACAATAGTGTGATTGCCCGACAGGCAACTTTTTTATAAATTTATTTACGTTTTGAGTTTGAGATTGACTGTATTTATTTGAAGGCGTGCTTTTACCGCGTTGGTCAGATTTTGACTTAAACTTGCAATTTTATGCAATTTAGTGTATTGCAGTGTTATTTGCGAAATATCAAAGGTTTTCAAAAGAAACTGCTGGCAACTTTTCTAATATAGTTATCAAAGTTTATGGTATTCATATTTAATTTATTTGAGTATAATAATGTTACAGTTTACGAACAACTAAACGCAAAACGCATTTTGTTTCTACTGCAAGTGACAAGTATTTAACTTACGTTGCATAAATTTATTATCGTAAGTGCCAAATAGGAAGTTTACAATAAACTTAAGAGCCTAATACTATATTGTAAGCGACAGGTATTATCCTTACGATCTGTCAGTCGGTGGAGGTTACGTTAAAAAACCGAATGGCTTGTTACTTACGATAAAAACAAAGAATATTAATAAAGTTGATTACATTTCTAATCTGAGCTCTAAATTAAGCTATAAGGTGTAAAATCAGTTGATCTGGCGGTTCATATTAAAAAAAGTTTTTGGAATTTTTGGCGCTTACGATCTTCTTCCTGAAAAGGCTCGATATATACATACTAGTTTATAGAGTATAAATAATAAACTATAATTTTGTACAACAATACATACAATACGGTAATTCTGAACTAATATTGATAATAATTTTTGAATTCAATAGGACTTAGAAATGATATTGGTTCCATATCGATACTGCAAAGCCTTTTTGGGAGAGTAAAATATATTGTTTTTAATTTAAATCACACACACAGTCTAAATTCGACTTCAGTTCACAAACGTTCGTCGCTAAATGCGAATTTGTTGTAAAAATAATCAAATCTTTTAATTTTTAAACAATGGTCTTGAATCTCGTGAGATAAATCGTCAAACGCGGATATGGTTGATACCAGGAAATCTGGATTTTGTTCACTGTACCTGAAAAATTAAAGTAATATGACTAAGTTAATGAATGGAGCATATTACAGCACACCTGCAATGCCGCTGGTGTTGTGGGTGATCATGGGCGGCGGTAGTCACTTACCATCAGGTGAGCCGCATGCTCGTTTGCCCCTTGTGTTGTAAAAAAAAAATATTAAATTTTAGTTTTGAGTGTATTCTATTTCATGTTGTCGTGATGATGATTGAATATTTTATGACCATGACCACACATAGTTTTCACTGCATTCCAATAAGAAGAGACTAGGTCAAATAATATAGATACAAAAAATTAAATATATCCATTTCAACAAATTCGTCCGTATCTTGTCAACGTTTTTAGTAAACTTTCACAGACCATGACATGCACAGTAATGAAAAAAATCAATTTCTCAATTTAATCACTGCTTTAAGAAATTATTATGAAAAATTTACATTTTCTAATATTAACAGGATTAAGCACCACAAATTGAATCGCTTTTCAATGGAGTGCAGTCATTTCACTTTTGATTATACATAATGTTGATAAAATAGAACAAAAACTATATTAACTTTTATACTTTCGTTTTGCACGGTTTATAACTGATAAGAGACAAGAATTGACACGATCATTTAGATACAAAATGTGCAGTATATAAATGCATCGGAAAGACACTGTCAGTACCGTTTGCATAACCCATCAGTAGGTATAGCAACAAAAATAACACGGTCTCTTATTTAACAGAACTAGAGGATGAATTTTAAGAAATACTAAAATTTAGTTTCAGATATTTGGTAAATAAGGCATATGCCTAAATAAATGAATAAAAAGACAAATGGAATAACAAACACATTTTCGCTGTAGCTTGAAATATTAAATAACAAGAGGTACTTACCGTAATCCGCGTTTCTCTAAACGTCTTATAATTGCGGGCTTAATTTTAGGCAAGCCTCAACTATGCAAGCCCCGACCAGTTATAAAGAATAGCCTACGGGATTTTGGAGCCCGAATATCTCGACCAAGGTCTTCCTTCATGTTTTCAATATGCGTGTCGATGAACAAATCGAGGGCCTCTTTGGCTTCATCTACACGCAAGTAGTGACAGTCGATGGTCGAGTCATCGTTATTACTGGAGTGAACCTGCATACAAAACGATACAAAAAGTTACAATAAAAGTTTGCAAACAGAAATGAGCGTGCCATTGAAAAATCTATCTGTACGCAGTTTCCTTTACTTTTATGATTCAAACTTATACCATTTCAAAATTATATAATAACTTCTTAAAATTAATGGTACTTTGATGAACGATATCGAATTTTTCCCTTACTTCATCGAACGATTGATATATCCGATGAATAGGATTATTTTGTGACACATTATCATTGGTTGATGGAACACTAAATAGTTGGTCGAGTGTGTCTATATATGTGTGTATATATGTGTGTCTATAGAGCGTTTCCATACAATCAAGTTCAAAGACGCTGCTATATTTTTATTTAAATTAAATTTAAGTAGGTACTCATTAAATTTTAATTAAATAAGGTATCCTTTACGAAGTTATTGTCATGTGATAGCAATTTAAAAGCTAATAGCAATATTTACGAAAATGTGATCAAGTTAATTTTGTTTTAATTATCCTTCTTACTTACTTGCATAATCAAGGCGGCAGCTATACTATTGTACTGCTCATATTGGGATTTGTGGAATGCGCTCTCATCCGAGTAATATCTGGCCACTTCCGTCATCCCCCGACGCGTGAATTGCTCCGCCTTCTGATAACTCCTCCAAACGTAATTTCATTGAAAATTATAAACATTTATACAATCGCGACTGTAACCCCTGGTCGGGTAGACAGGCTCGTTTGTTGGTATTATTGTACATATCAGGTTCAAAATATGAACGATTCTTCTCTTATAATCTTTTGGTATTTTGTATAAGTTAACACTTTACCATTGTTTTTATTTTCACTACCCATATGCTCCGAACTTGCTTGCGTGAAATAAGCTAAAAATATCTTGTGTTTATTTAAGATAATTATGTTCTCTCTGAATATCAAACTTCTTTCAACACTATTCAGCCCTTAAAGCGTGATCTATATTTTTTTTATTAAACACCAAGAAGAATAAACAACTAGAAAAATATATATATTAAAAAAACGGTTACTCTGTCTGTATCTAATATATGATAAAATATAAACAACCGGATAGATGGTTTAGTACAATTAAATGTGCATCGACACTTTATAAAAACTTTCTCTTCTGCGATTATAAACATTTTAATAGTAATCCAAAGACTTTTTCCTAAAATAACATTTTATTACTTACAAATTACTGCGCGTAAAATGTTTTGCGGCTTCTTCGCGATAACTCTTGGTAATGGACATATCCACCTTCTCGGCCTTAAGTAATAATGCCCATTTCACTTCTCCGCGATCCTGTTTTGAACAACGCAGTTGTTATAATAACATTATTATTAACATATATAAGAACATTAGCAATGATTATTGTGATGTCAGTTTTTTTTTTTGTATCAGTATGAAATTGTAATATCCGAGAGTATGTATTGTATGTAACGTAATGTGAATGTATAAATTCAATAGCATTTTTTGATTGTCTGTCTGTTTGTAAAGATTTATTGTACATTCACATTTGACACAGATATCAAGTTATAAAATAAATCACAACGTACACAGGCGGGCGTATTCCTTAAAAGGATTTTAGCATGACCAGAATTTGAAAGAAGTAAGTAGTTGTAACGATATATACATATATACATACTAGTTTATAGAGTATAAATAATAAACTATAATTTTGTACAACAATACATACAATACGGTAATTCTGAACTAATATTGATAATAATTTTTGAATTCAATAGGACTTAGAAATGATGTTGGTTCCATATCGATACTGCAAAGCCTTTTTGGAGAGTAAAATATATTGTTTTTAATTTAAATCACACACACAAACTGTCTAAATTCGACTTCAGTTCACAAACGTTCGTCGCTAAATGCGAATTTGTTGTAAAAATAATCAAATCTTTTAATTTTTAAACAATGGTCTTGAATCTCGTGAGATAAATCGTCAAACGCGGATATGGTTGATACCAGGAAATCTGGATTTTGTTCACTGTACCTGAAAAATGAAAGTAATATGACTAAGTTAATGAATGGAGCATATTAAATTTTAGTTTTGATTGTATTCCATTTCATATTGTCGTGATGATGATTGAATATTTTATGACCATGACCACACATAGTTTTTACTGCAAATCAATAAGAAGAGACTAGGTCAAATAATATAGATACCAAAAATTAAATATATCCATTTCAACAAATTCGTCCGTATCTTGTCAACGTTTTTAGTAAACTTTCACAGACCATGACATGCATAGTAATGAAAAAACAAATCAATTTCTCAAATTTATCACTGCTTTAAGAAATTATTATGAAAAATTTTTATTTTCTGATATTAACAGGATTAAGCACCACAAATTGAATCGCTTTTCAATGGAGTGCAGTCATTTCACTTTTGATTATACATAATGTTGATAAAATAGAACAAAAACTATATTAACTTTTATACTTTCGTTTTGCACGGTTTATAACTTATAAGAGACAAGAATTGACACGATCATTTAGATACAAATTGTGCAGTATATAAATGCGTCGGAAAGACACTGTCAGTACTGTTTGCATAACCCATCAGTAGGTATAGCAACAAAAATAACACGGTCTCTTATTTAACAGAACTAGAAGATGAATTTTAAGAAATACTAAAATTTAGTTTCAGATATTTGGTAAATAAGGCATATGCCTAAATAAATGAATAAAAAGACAAATGGAATAACAAACACATTTTCGCTGTAGCTTGAAATATAAAATAACAATAGGTACTTACCGTAATCCGCGTTTCTCTAAACGTCTTATAATTGCGGGCTTAATTTTAGGCAAGCCTCGACTATGCAAGCCCCGACCAGTTATGAAGAACAGCCTACGGGATTTTGGAGCCCGAATATCTCGACCAAGGTCTTCCTTCATGTTTTCAATATGCGTGTCGATGAACAAATCGAGGGCCTCTTTGGCTTCATCTACACGCAAGTAGTGACAGTCGATGGTCGAGTCATCGTTATTACTGGAGTGAACCTGCATACAAAACGATACAAAAAGTTACAATAAAAGTTTGCAAACAGAAATGAGCGTGCCATTGAAAAATCTATCTGTACGCAGTTTCCTTTACTTTTATGATTCAAACTTATACCATTTCAAAATTATATAATAACTTCTTAAAACTAATGGTGCTTTGATGAACGATATCAAATTTTTCCCTTACTTCATTGAACGATTGATATATCCGATGAATAGGATTATTTTGTGACACATTATCATTGATTGATGGAACACTAAATAGTTGGTCGAGTGTGTCTATATATGTGTGTATATATGTGTGTCTATAGAGCGTTTCCATACAATCAAGTCCAAAGACGCTGCTATATTTTTATTTAAATTAAATTTAAGTAGGTACTCATTAAATTTTAATTAAATAAGGTATCCTTTACGAAGTTATTGTCATGTGATAGCAATTTAAAAGCTAATAGCAATATTTACGAAAATGTGATCAAGTTAATTTTGTTTTAATTATCCTTCTTACTTACTTGCATAATCAAGGCGGCAGCTATACTATTGTACTGCTCATATTGGGATTTGTGGAATGCGCTCTCATCCGAGTAATATCTGGCCACTTCCGTCATCCCGCGACGCGTGAATTGCTCCGCCTTCTGATAACTCCTCCAAACGTAATTTCATTGAAAATTATGAATATATATACAATCGCGACTGTAACCCCTGGTCGGGTAGACAGGCTCGTTTGTTGGTATTATTGTACATATAAGGTTCAAAATATGAACGATTCTTCTCTTATAATCTTTTGGTATTTTGTATAAGTTAACACTTTACCATTGTTTTTATTTTCACTACCCATATGCTCCGAACTTGCTTGCGTGAAATAAGCTAAAAATATCTTATGTGTTTATTTAAGATAATTATGTTCTCTCTGAATATCAAACTTCTTTCAACACTATTCAGCCCTTAAAGCGTGATGTATATTTTTTTTATTAAACACCAAGAAGAATAAACAACTAGAAAAATATATATATTAAAAAAACGGTTACTCTGTCTGTATCTAATATATGATAAAATATAAACAACCGGATAGATGGTTTAAAACAATTAAATGTGCATCGACACTTTATAAAAACTTTCTCTTCTGCGATTATAAACATTTTAATAGTAATCCAAAGACTTTTTCCTAAAATAACATTTTATTACGTGAACAAAAAGATATAACTTACAAATTACTGCGCGTAAAATGTTTTGCGGCTTCTTCGCGATAACTCTTGGTAATGGACATATCCACCTTCTCGGCCTTAAGTAATAATGCCCATTTCACTTCTCCGCGATCCTGTTTTGAACAACGCAGTTGTTATAATAACATTATTATTAACATATATAAGAACATTAGCAATGATTATTGTGATGTCAGTTTTTTTTTTGTATCAGTATGAAATTGTAATATCCGAGAGTATGTATTGTATGTAACGTAATGTGAATGTATAAATTCAATAGTATTTTTTGATTGTCTGTTTGTTTGTAAAGATTTATTGTACATTCACATTTGACACAGATATCAAATTATAAAATAAATCACAACAAATAATATAGATACAACAAACAAAACACAGGCGGGCGTATTCCTTAAAAAGATTTTTGCCAAACCAGAATTTGAAAGAAGTAAGTAGTTGTAACGATGTATACATATATACATACTAGTTTATAGAGTATAAATAATAAACTATAATTTTGTACAACATACTTTAGATGTTTGTTTAATGGACAATGGCCCGTTATTGTCCCTATCATTATTTTAAGATTTTTCCTATCTGGTTGTAATAAACATTTTGATAGTCGTTGATTCAATGTTGGCACAGCCAGTTTTGATTGTCTGAAATCAGTAGCCTATATCCATCTTTGGTATTGTATGTCAGCGGATCTTTGACGAATCCATATTCGAAATTGCAAGAACGGAAGAGGAAAAAGTGGGTACGGGCCATCCACTCTCGTTCCAGAACCCCTTCTAGCTAGCTCATCTGCGACATTGTTACCATAAGATCCACTAAGCCCTCTTATCCACTGGAAGATAACTGGGTTATTGTAAGATGTCCTATCCAATGCCCGGTGGCATTCAATTATTAATTTGTTGTCTTGTTGTTTCGTAGTGCTTTTAGTACCGCTGTTCTATCAGATAGTAATCTAATGCTAATACCATTTCCTTCTATCTTATGTGTAGCTGCAGTTGAAACGTTGCTAAATGATATTTTTTAACAGATATAATAACGACTGACGACAAGAACGACTGTTATCTGTTACCTTCGAATACCTGTGACTTATGTTTGTTATGATAAATACGCCTCATCCCTATTTACGCTTGTAGCGTTGACCTCACACACTTGATTCCGCGCGTCGCGGTAGGATTTTACTACGTATATTAATTTATACGTACATTGCTGATTTTTGGTATTTCGTAGTATTTCACTATAAAATTTTATTAAACCTTTATATTATGACATAACATCAAAGATTACATGATATTAAATGAAAAAAAGGAGAAAACATTGTAATTTTCCGGAAAGAATTTCCACTAGTTTTTAGTTCAGAATAATGGTCTGAATTCAATGTATGAGTTTTTTCTAACCTGTCTCTTACACCGTGTATATTATGATTCACAAAATATTATTTCTAGGGTATCTTATAGATACTTTTGTATTATTACAAACATCGGGGTGGGTTCTGGAATATCATCCTATATAACCTCTAAAATTCAATTATTATAGTGACCTTTCAGCAAAATGATTATGTTACGGATCATTAAAACTTTTCTACCTACCCAGGTACTAGACAATTTTTATATATAGTTTTTACGCTTATTATCAGAGGAAAAGAAATATTAGGAATCGAGTGATGTTTTCAGTAGCAAGATAATATTATTAACCCTTCTTTGCATGATTTTTATTTTTTAATTGGTAAAATAAATCAAGGTGATATAATTCATGTTCAAAATTAAAGGAAAAATGGTTATAAAAATACATTTGACAGGTATGTTTTCTTTTCTGCAATGGACATTAAAAAGGTATCCAGACACGATCAACGTAAAGTTAAATTGTTCTTTTTTATAATTTTATAGCATTCAATGTTATGATTGAATTTTCTAGCATTATGCAAAGAAGGGTTAAGGGTACAATAAAAAAGTTAACTACCAAGAAGTATTTACACTATAACACTCCCCCTCACGAAGATTCCGATGATAATCCCATTACCTCACAAAGCTTCAATATTCCCGATTGAGGTAGAACTTTGGTTAAGACGTCTGCCTCTATCATACTTGATTGCATATACTCTACAGCAATTTTATTGTTCTGCACACATTATCTAATGAAATGCTCCTTGATGTTTATATGTTTAGACCTCTTACTCAGTAGTGAATTCTTTGCTAATTTTTGTGCAGCAATGTTGTCGCTATAAATTGTAATAGCTTTTGTAGTATCTTCTCCCAAATCTCGAAGAATGTTCTGTGAATAAATTACTTCTTTGGCAGCATCAGTTAACGCCATATCCTCAGCTTCAGCTATTGATAGAACTACGATGCGCTGTTTTATAGATTGAGAACTGACAACTCCACTTCCGTATTTAAAAATGAAGCCAGTATATGACCTACGGTCTAATGTGCATGCAGTCCAATCAGCGTCTGCCATTCCATATAGTGGTAGTCTTTGAATCTCAGTTTGTAGTCTTTGGCACCTTTCAAGTGTCTGAGAATCCTTTTTGCAGCTTGCCAATGTTGTTGGCCATAATCATATCATCTGTGGCAGAGATCAAATAATAAAGAAGGTTTGACCTGTGAGATTTAAAATAAATAAAACTACAAAATAATACTATATACAAAATAAAGCTAGTTGACAAAATTTGGAAATGAATTTAAAAATATAGCTTGGTACTTATTGTACCCTAAAATATATTATTTTAAGAAAAATAAGTCATTTTACCTAGGAATTTTGTGTTTTTAGAAATGAATTCAAAATTGACATCGAAAAAGGCCAAGACTGTCATGGCGTCTTGAATGACGTCACGCCTCGCAAAACATTCGTGTCTTTTTATGACAGTCAATTATTTTTATTAAGAAATAATGAATCCCTCATATTATAAATACTGTGCAGTGTCCCAATGTAAAAGTACAATGATACCCAATAAACACCGAATAAATTATTCATATACGTTCCTAACAATAAGCAAATACGTAAAAAGTGGTTAGAAATAGCAAGGAGGCAAGATGCTTCTAATATATGAAGTGATTCAACATTTTATTTTTGTGAAGATCATTTTTAATGTAACTATTAAGCCAAGTTATTGTATCTATTGGTAAATGTAAAGTAAAAGTAATGAATTTAGTAAAATATACCATATAAAAGCATACCCTTATAGGTTATGTAACCATAAGTTATTAATAACTTGAATATGTTCGTGTTATTTTTTAAGATTATTAACATTATTTTTGTTTTAAAAATGAAATAATTTATACTTTTTGTATTGTTTTAGTTGCCAAACGATATGAAGTATCATATTATGGGAATAGTCTCTCAAGTGGGCATGAAACCAGGTTGTATACCAAAGAAATTCGAATGCCAAGAAGATAGAAAGAAATGTACATGCAGCAATATTAAACATCCATATATATATTAACAAAACAAAGACTGTCAACAATCGCAGTGTTTGAATGAACCAGAACGAAGTATGAGTAGTACATCAAGTTCATCTATCAAGGATACTTCAACAAGTTCAGGTACCTATGTAACAAACAAAACAAACTATTTGCAGTTTGAAACATGTATTAAGACATTATTATTATGACCATATTTTGTTAATTTTCAGATTTTCAAAAAGTTGGGGAGGATGTACCTGAAGCTTTATGTGCACCAACAGCAGATAAATCTGTTCAAGCATTAGTAACACACAATTTCAGAAGTAAAGCTGTCTAAACTAAAATAAAATCAACAGAAAAGGCAGTACATCCTTTGAAACCATCACAAATATCTGTCTCCACATCCCCATTCAAACCAATGAAAATTATAAATTCAAGACCTGTGTCCCGCCTCAGCAAAATTACAATATATTTATTGAAGCAGAGCAGTCTGATAGTGATGTTTCTTTATATGTACCATCTGCATCTACCTATACATATGCCTATCTATCTAAGATTCATTAATAAAATAAAACAACTTTATTTTATTTGTATTTTTATTTTAGTTTTACACTGTTATATAATAAAAGATAAATATTGTTTTTCCAAAAATATAACAAATCTTTGATTATATTTTCAATATATTTTGGATCATATTGAACCATTAATACCTCAACCACTTTATTTTGGCTAAAATCAGGATCAGCCACACAAAATAAACAATTTCTCTTTCCAGTTAAATACATTTGTATTTGCATTTGAGTATAATACTTTTGTGTGGTTTCATCATTCTCAATGTAATTTTTACAAGTTTTTACACTATTAGGGCATTTAATTTTAATTAAGCCATCTTCCAATATGCCATCTGGGGAACCAGCAATCATTGGGTAATCTATATTTAATATTAGTCCGCACTTATTAATTTTTTTATTCAATTTTACCTCCACAGTCTTCCTTAATTGACCTTCTAAGACACGTCCATTTCCCATTGATGGAGTATTAGGTATTTGCCCCTAATATTATAGACACAAGTGTACCATCATTCTTTTTAGAGCGTCTAACCTCAAATGCTCTTGATGCGGTTATTCGTCCATACCGCAGCTCATGCCAAAGAGAGCTATTGGATTGTTCCCTTGTTTTCTCTTGAACTTTTGTTATTAAAGATGCAGATATCTTTACATTTTTCAAGAAATTATCTAGAAATTTCTCTTTAAACTTCCACATAAGCTGATGCATTGAAAAAGCCTGTATTTCACTTGCACTATGTGTGGGTTGATACTTAAGGAATTGACAATCCTCAATTTTTGTGTTCTTTCCTTCTAAAAACTTCAGAAAAACACATGAGTTTGACAGTATGAGAAGGCTGCCCTTAGATAAATCTTTGCCCGTCATATATTTTATGGTGTTACCATCTTTTGATAATTAAGATTTTTTTTCCAGTAGCATTTAACAAATGTGCATGAGGGCTCCTCGCTTCGGCGATGAACCCATATTAAGAATGCTATTGCATGCTTACAACCACCCTGTGAAGCTATGCAGTCTTCACATTGCACAGAAAGGACATATTTTGCATTTTATAATACATAATTTGCCATCGCGCTTAAACTGCACATAGCTTACAGCATCATCTCCGTATAAAGCTCGTGATGACCTGAAATAAAAAATTGATTAATTAAAACTTTGTATTCGATAACCTCAAAATTAGTTATTACTACATAGAACGTTGGTACAAAGTAGGTAAATGTATGTAAATAGTTTTTTTACATTATACTTACAGAAAAGTTTTAACATTTCGGAATTCTGATGAGCAAAAATCGGCGTTTGCAGGAAAAAAATTGCCAAGCATAACGGCGTCAATTTTGGGCAAATTACTGCTATTTGCTTTGATCTACGTGATCTACCAGCGCGACCGTTTTTTGTATATTCAGTACTAAATATATGGTATAATTTAGGCTCCGTAAAACTAATTTAGTTGTTTTTTTTGTATCCTTTCATAGCCTGGTATTTTTTGGTACATTTTTAAAATTTTAACATTTTTAAACACATTATTGATATATCTTTTGGTTGAGCGGGCAACACTAATTTCCATTTCTTCGTATTTCGTTCACATATTTTTTTTGTTTGATGTTTACTGCAACTGTATCATTTTGTCTTTTTCGAACAGTTAATACTAACAAAACCGCGAATCGTGCTTTATCTACGTTCCATGCTCTACGTCGCGGGGAATTACTGAAACTTAAAAAATGATACATAGCAATGAATATAAAAAGGACTACATTTTTTTTGTCCTTTATTTATATGTGTGTCTGTTATCGTTCTTGTGTAATAAAGAGAATGAAGCGCAAATACCATCAGAAATATAGATCTCAGTGGGAACAAAATCCTGAATTTTTTTCATGGATAACAAAAGATAAAAATAGTGAGAACGCCTTGTGTAAAACTGTGTGGAGCAATAATTTTGAGCAGAATCGCAACATTTAAAAGTCATGCAAAGTCTGAAAAACATCGGCAGAAATTCATACATTATAATGGACAATGCAAGGTAAGAAAGCTATGCCAATGCTATGCTAAGCTATTAACATATTTATAAGATTATTGCGTCCCATATATTTTTTTTGGTACATAAATTAATTGTCCGATCTTGGCCAGTGTACATGTATAGTTGTACACACATGTATAATCGATTCTCAAGCGATTTTAGAAAGTTGAATTTTGAAATTTTCGTAAATGAAATTGTAGGTATACATACATGCCGAATTGGTTCTGTGTGATGGAAAGATAGTTTTACAGGGTTCAAACATATGTAATATTTTTATCAAGACATTTTAACTGAATGAAACACTAGTTTCCCGAGATAAGAAATAGGTAGTTATTTTACTTATTTTTTACGATAGGAAAATTAATCAAATATTGTTTGTTTTCAGATTGATAAATTATTTCAAAGGAAAGGACCCATATCTGACGAAGTAAGAAAAGCAGAGCTTATATTTTGTGCAGCGTTGCAGAAAATAACATACTATTTCGGGCCATGGATCATCTTAGCTATTTATTCAGCAAAATGTTTTATGATTCGGAAATTGCAAAGGGTTTTTCCTACAAATGCACTAAATCTGCTCAGTTAATTTGCGACGTAATGGCGCCGTCATTTGAAAAACAGTTATTAACCGATATAAAAAATACAATTACCGATATAAATAATATAATATATTTTATCAGATAATGCTGCTACTTTTTCATTAATTATAGATGAAAGCACCGACATTACAACAGAAAAATTACTTGTCATTGCAATAAAGTTTTATAGCGTTCAGGATAATCTATCTAAATCTAATCTAAGTCTATTAAGTGAAACTGCTGAAAATATTTTTATCTCACTGTGTATTTAAAAATTGAAAATATTTCAGGATTTGCAGCTAATACAACAAATTTAATGTTTGGGAGAAACAAAAGTGTGGTTGCAAAGGTTAAGTCGATCAATTCTAATTGTATTTTTGTAAAATGTACATGTCATTCATCAGCATAAACTGTAAGTTATGCATGTAAAAAATTGCCTAAAGCATTGAATCAAATTGTGAAAGAACTCTATAATTATTTTGATCATTCTCATTTGACAAACGCACAAGAGAATTTGCAGAATTTCAGACCTTTGTAGAATCAGAGCATGACAATATTTTACGTCACTACGACATATGTTGGCTCTCCCTTTACGGCTGTATAAATCGCATAGTAGAACAGTGGAATGCACTTCAGCTGTATTTTCAGCAAGAACATCTCGTAGAACATAACTCTAGCCATTCGCAGCAGCTACATTCGTGCCACTGCTATTGTAGACATAGATCCTAATAGTAATAAATTTTGTAGAATTACATGTGATATACTTAGGTATAAAAGTGTTTTTAATAAAATAGCGCTGTTAAGAAATCAACCAAGTAACAGTAGTATCGTAATTATAGACTTTTTAAAAAGGTGTTAAAGCTTTTTGATAGAGTTATGTACTCAACTTAAATGTCGATTTCCTAATAATGAAAAAATATTTTCCGAGTCACGATTCATAGACCCACAACTAGCGGCTTATGAAAATTTTACATCTCTTATCAGCGTTATGAACAGGTTTCCGACCATTACTACAAATAATACAGTAAGACAATTATCTGACGAGGAATATCGTCAAATTAAGTATGATTCAGAGGTACAAAACCTGATGTGTGGTTCTAGTAGTAGTCCTAGTGCTGTAAATGTTGAACAGATTTGGAGACAATTAAAGTTGTATTGTTAACAGTAAAAATGTTCCTAAGTACAAAAATTTGACTAATTTTGTAAAATGTCTAATGTGCATACCCATTTTAAACGCTGAATGCGAAAGAATTTTTCAAAAGTTAATCATATAAAAACTATGTATAGAAACAGGTTTCTAGCTAAACATATTGCGTGCCTGTTGTATGTTAAGCAAGGTTTAAGTGAAGGGAGTGTAGGTTGTGTGTCATTTGACCCATCGAAAGATATGGTAAAAAATAATCCGTCGAATACTATTTGCAATAAAACTTATTGTAAATATTTATTATTATTTTAATATGTCTGTATACAGAAGTGTGAAATTGGTAAAATAAAAAAAAGTTAGTGATAATAAGTGTTTTAATTAAATTTTTCCTCTTCTACTTTTTTAGTACATTTTTAGTATAATTCAGTATGTGTTTTGGTATTATTTAGTACTGCCACCTTGTAGTTTTAGTAGATTCTATTTTTTAAAACGGTCACATTGGATACTGCGTTTACTATCATGATACGGTTTCGTAAACAATTGGCGAAGTCTAAAGCTAAAGTATATTTTTATAAATTAACTTGTAAACTTGATATTTATTTCGTTACCACTGTTGATCAATATGGATTTAGGGGAGAAAAATGTTATGGTAACCACGACACCATTGTTGATATTTTGATTAAAGTTTTTGGTTACGTTGCCAATCGAGACGATGTCGGTGCTATTGTAGGTGCTCCTGTGATTGTAAGTATCAACTTATGTTGACCTTATTCTTAGTGGGGACTAGGGACTGTGTTGCTAAAAGTTGATAATGAAATTCTAATAACGCTTGCTTTATCGATACATGATAGATGAATATAAAAGCAATTAACCATGATAATTTTCAGCTCGCAACCATGTGGTATTTTTCTGTAGAATTAATCATGTTGGGCCAAGAGATCTGACTTAATTCTCACTTTACTATGTATACTAGAAATAATCTATATTAAAGCAAACCAAATTTTAAGCAATTTTAAACACATCATGAAATAAGTGTATATAATACAATCTCCATACCATACAATGTGTGGAGGCAGTGTGTTAAATTGCTATATCCAAAGATTTTTTTCCTAAATTCTGTTTCATTCGTAATTAGTGACTCACCTCTGCTTTGTATGGGTAGTAGATTTTTTTTGTAGATTTTAAAAAGAGAAACAGTCCTACCATACATTGCTTTCTTATATATCAAACAGATGAGGCAGTGTTCTTAATAAATGCTCTCTGTGGAATTGATGTCACATTAAAATCCTTTATACATTTTAAAAGCTTCAAGCGTACAGATGCCAAGAAGTAACTTTCTTTTATGCTATGTAGATGTGACATTGTATTATTGTGATTGATATGTATTATGATTTTACATTAAGCTTATATTTAATTTGATTTTTATTTCTGATTGTTATGTTAATTATAATATTAATTATTGTCTCTTCTGATGGTTGTGAGTTTGATCTTAGTATAATACAAACATTTCTATTCATGTATGTCTGCAATGGTCTGGGTGATGTCTATGTATAATATGTATAACATATCTTTTTTTCTTTTAATTTAAGTTACTGTTTGTTATTTAAATTATGGTTTATAGTATTTGTTTCAGTGTACCTTTAAGATACTAAATTGTGTCAAGTTGCCATACAGAATTCATTAGATGTCTTGGATTTATATTTTATTTTTATTTTATTTACCATATTTTTTTACTCCCATTCCTTTATAATCAGTCCTATGTGTTAACAATTGCTCAAGAAAAATTGTAAAATATATTATTAAAATTCACTATTTCAGTTTTAATTTTATACTCCATCAGCGAAGATGACATGAGTGGAAGTAAATTTGATGAAGATATTAAAAAATCAAAATCACCCATATGATCAAGTGACATGGTTTACATATTGTACATCTAATTATCACTAAATCAGCATTAGGATTGAGTTGAAGTCAACATTATGTTGGCATCATCATGTTTGTGATACAGAGAGTGAAGTAACAAAAGCATCACATGCATTGCAATCCTGACTAAAAGATAAGTCCCTTTTTCTCTTTGTACAACTATCCAAAGATTCCATTCAAAATCACATCTAAAACTCACAATTTACGTTATTTTATGAAATCTAAATACATTCAGTCGTCAGTTGACTGTTTTTACATAAAAACAAATAATAAACATTAAAGAATTATACTTAAATATATAAAATAAGTAAAACAAAATTGTCTTGAAGATCTTGTGCCCAGAAAGGGATAAACAGTGCATAAGTAAGTAAATACTTTTTATTATAGTACATGTGTCTTTTTATCTTCACACCTCATCTCTTTCAGTTAAGCATAAAATTAACATTAATGTAAACATCATTTTTGTTAGTTATTACAATAGTTATCTAAACAAATAAGTGAGCTCTAAATCTATCATCCTTTGAATTTTGCATTAAATTATGGTACTATTATCTAGTTATTAATATTTCAATACTAATTAGAAAAATTTATATGCAATGAATATTTACTTAAATAATATCCATTTGTACTCTAAATAGATTTAAATTTTTCGATAACCATAGCTTTCTCATTTTAATGTTAGTTTGCCGACTAATTCCAGTAATAATGCTGCGCGCATTGCTGAGATGCGGATTGAGCAACAGTGTGACATTGACGAGCTATGTGAGCATTGCCGGCTTTGATTGGCAGTCACACCACCAGGGCGAGGAGGGTGAGAATTTTATTTCCTTACATTGTTCACATTACAATAACTAAAATATTTATAAATCCATATACTTATACCAAAATCATTATACACCTAATTAATACTTGTTTTGCAAAGTGACAGACAAGGAGACAGGTGTCTTGCCTTCTTCCTAAACTTCCTTTAGTACATTGCATGCTAATTTAAAGGAATTGTTTACTAATTTTAATCTCCGGCATGCATTAGAGTTCGTCGCCTGACGGGCCTTTATGTGGCGGATATATTCTGAAAAGTATCCTAGCTCCGTCAGGACATCGGCTATCTTCTCCGTTGGTGTGTCCGCTGGGATACCGCGGATGGCTACTGTCATGTATATTGATGTGGGTACTTTTATACTTTGTTAAATAATAAAGTGTACTAATGTAGGCAGAATATGTTCCAACATGACATAAACTGATTCAAGCTACACAGCATGTTTTATTTCACAATATCATATAATTAGAACATATTAGTGGCGACGAAGTGTAAAAAGTAATAAAATGGACGTAAAAGCAGTGAAATTCGATGAGTTTAATCCGCAAACAGACAATTGGGACATTTATTTTGACCCTTTAAAATTTTGTTTCGAGGCTAATGGCGTCATAACAGACTCGTCTAAAAGAGCTAACTTCTTCACAGTGTGTGGTTCGCGGGTGTTTGAAACTTTATTGGCATTAATCACACCCAGAAAAGCTAGTGAAGTGACATTCAATGAAATAGAAATTGTTTTGACTAAACACTACAGTCCAAGACCAAATGAAATATCAGTGTCGTTCCAGTTTTATAAACGTGATCAAAAACATGATGAATCTGCGGCAGACTATATAGCTCAATTAAGAAAACTTAGCTCTGGCTGCAATTTCATTGACTTAGAGCGAATGCTTCGCGACCGGCTCGTATGTGGTATGCGTGACGGACGGTTACAGTATGAACTTTTAAAACGAGATAAGTTACGTTATCAAGATGTAGTGGATGCTATGCTATCATCAGAAAGTGCGGGAAGGGATGTCCGCATGATTCAAGTATCTGCCAGCGTGACCGCTGATACTACTGTCGCGCCTGTCCTCTCTCGAACGACTTACACTACATCACCGTCGGGTTCAGAGCCGATGAACTTCAACATCAGCTGGGAGAAATACTTTTAATGGCTGAAACACCAGAAGATTTTCCATACAATTCAGAGCACATAGCCAGGGAGACGAATAGAGATAAAATCTTGTCAAAAGTTAGTTATTATATACAACGTGGGTGACCAGCTAAAGAAACTGATGCAGATATACGCCCATTCTGGTTACATCGCACAGAGCTGTCACTGCAAGAAAATTGTATTCTACTAGGATGTCGGGTTGTAGTACCTAGTACTCTCCGTCCTGCAACTCTACGAATGTTACATAAAACACATACAGGTATTGTCCGAACCAAAGCACTGGCCAGAAGCTATGTGTGGTGGCCACACTTAAACGAAGACATAGAATCACTAGTGAGTGGTTGTACCAAGTGCCTTGAAAATCGACATATGCCTCCTAAAACTACACATGAATGGATCACACCTTCAAGGCCATGGTCAAGAATTCATATAGACTTTGCGGGGCCATATCACAATAAATATTTTCTAATTATAGTCGATGCATATTCTCGTTGGCCAGAAGTGTTTATGGTGAACAATACAACAACGACCACTGTGATTCGGTTGCTTAGAACGACTTTTGCAACCCATGGCCTTTGTGAAGTTTTAGTGTCTGATAATGGCACATCATTTGTATCAGGCGAAATGAAGGAATTTCTGCAGGCAAATAATATACGTCACGTTACTACTGCACCTTATCATCCAGCGACCAATGGTTTAGCGGAACGAATGGTCCAGACAGTTAAAGACAAACTAAAAAAAATGGATCATTTATCCTGGGACATTAGAATTCCAAATTTGTTATTAGATCTGCGTGTCACTCCGTGCTCAGCTACGAATAAAAGTCCAGCTGAACTATTAATGAACAGACATTTGAGGACATTGCTGAATACAATTCATCCAGACAGTTTGAAACATAAAAAAACAGAGTGGCAGATTGACCACAATCAACATAAATCACACAGAGAAACTAATGAGGGACAAAAGGTAATCTACAGAAATTACAACAATCAAGGCCCCAAATGGTTATCAGGCATAGTATTACAGAAGAATGGATTGTCTAATTATAAAATTGAGACAGCTAATGGTTCAGCAATCAATCGTCATATTGATCAGTTGATTAGATACAGATCAAGAAAGGAGGAAGGAGAAGAAGGAATTGCTGGTACATCTGAATCATTGGAAGTTTCCAATAACACAGATAATAATGTTAAGAACCATCAACAAGAACAACAGGAAAGTAACAGCCAAGAGTCTGAGAGGATTATTGAAATACCAGATTCTGAAAAATGGGTTGAGATATTGGGAATCCCACCAACTTCTGAATTGGTTACGCCAGCTACAGGCAAAATAAAAAATAAGTTAAATGTGCATTCTAAAACTCCTTATGAGAGACCACAAGATCCTAAAGACAATCTATACTTATTCTAAGTGTCATTATATTTTTATATTAGTATTATATATGTCTAAAATGTAATCATAATATCTTTCTATATTTATAATTGATTTAACTATCTTAGAGGGGAGGTATGTCATGTATATTGATGTGGGTACTTTTATACTTTGTTAAATAATAAAGTGTACTAATGTAGGTAGAATATGTTCCAACATGACATAAACTGATTCAAGCTACACAGCATGTTTTATTTCACAATATCATATAATTAGAACATATTAGCTACCTTCAGCTGGCAATTGGTAGCTAAACCAGCTGACTTTTTCCAATTTTTCCAAGTCGGAGAGGTACCGTTGCATAATACGGTACTCTTCCTTCGACTTGGGGGAGAATCGCACCCCTCTCCCATATGGGCGGGCGTTGCAAGCATATCTTAGCTTTTCTTTCAATGTCCTAAAGTGGCGCACCCAGTCCGGCAGATGTTCCACAATGAGCTGGGGTATTCTTTGCTGTTTTCTCACTGGAGGGGATGAACGGCGGCTGTATCTGGCTTGTCTGGAACGCTGGTGGATCCGCATACGAGGGAACTGGTACCTGTTGCTTGTTATTGAAACCGGTATTTGATCCTTTTCTCGGTCTGATTCGGTGGTCTCTTGGAAGTAACGGTGCTGCAGTGGTGGTGACGGCTCTTGATAAGGGCGCTTATGTGCCTCCTCATTAGGTTCGGGACTCCTCTGTCTTCGAGTCGGTCTTGTGGACATCTGGAATGACCGGACAAGTCCCTTGCCAGTTCCATTTCCTCTACCGGAGCCGACGGCTGGTCCCTTAACCGAGCGGCTTCGTCACCCATTAAGGCCGCAAGCCTTTTCCTCGTACCCTGGGAAAGAAGGTTGGTAGTCAGGACTTGCCCCAAGATCAATGAGTCACACTCAAGTGTTGATCTCGGCGACAAGCTGATCCTCCTGAAGTGACGGGCGCGGCGGTAGCAACGGGGGTGTGGTGCGCAGCGTAGGAGCGGTCTCGGCTCTTAGATGAAGGGGAGTCGCTACGCGGGTGCGACACGGCGTGCGCAGGGTACGTGGGCGCAGGGGTGCAGCGGTATTACCCCCCGCGCGGATGGCAAATTGGGCCCTGAGAAGGGCCTTTTCGTCCATCCGTCTGGCCGGATGATTCGGCATGATGGGGCCTTGCGGCCCGCTGCGATCTTCAGAAAAAGACCCACCGCCAGCGGGATGACGGTGGGTACTGTGGGATTTTTACCCACTAAAAACCACCTCGGTATTTCCCTCAGCGCCGTGTGCCGATGACTGGGGCTCGCGATTTGCAGTCGTCCCAATCACCGGCGGCGCCACCCCATGACAGGGCCACTCCGATTGGCGCGCCGGGAATACGCAGCGTGCCGACTCCCGGATCTCCACCTCTAGTTGGGCTTTGGAAGTGTCCCGTCTTCCGCCGTCCGGAGATCCACTTCAGAGCCGAGGGACATCCTGTAGTGTAAAAGGCCGCGGGTCCAAGGAGTGCACCCGCGCCATCAGCCAACCCAGTTTGATCTGGCCTGCACCAATTAGCGCACCCAGACCGATCCCACGCCGGCGCACGTGCGACGGATCTCCCCCGTTTTCACGGAGGCCTCATCGCACCTGCCTTTGCGCGCCACAGCTGAAACCACGTCGGCTACCGTGGTGGCATCGTCCAGATCTAAAATGCGCAGCTCCGCGCATTTGACTGGCCTGGAGACCTTAACCTGGCTCTCCGGTAGCACCTCCCGCAATTTGGCCGCAAGTGCATCCGCCTTTGGGCCACTCTCGGCAACAACACCAGGCACCTCTAAGATGCAGGCGCCTGTTTGCGCCAACCAAAAAGTCATCGACGGTATTCCGAGGCTATCCAAGGAGATCCTTGTCCTAGCCTCGGACATTACCTTCAGGTAATCGGTGCCGGCCTCTTCCGCACCCGGTCTGAGGGCCAGGACGACCGCTGAAGACCGGGGCGGGCGCAACCTTCGCTTCCTCTTCTTTTTCTTAGGCATTGCAGCCTTCGTCACCTGAGAAGGTGGTGCTGCCTCCCGGGGCCTCATCGATTTGACAGGTGTCGCTTCACCTGGGTCGCCTTCGGGTGCTTACCGCGCCTGACCACCGTCGTCCACTCCTCTCGCTGTGTGTTAGCGGACGGTTGTGGCAGGTCACTTTCAGCGCCCTGATCACCGGCTGACGCCGCTTGGCTTGCTAACCCGTTGCCAGCCGCAGCCGTTTTCGGCTGTTGGACCCTCTTTGCCTCGCGTTTTTTGCGAGGCGCCTTCTTTTTCTTGGCTTGGCCGAGGCTTTCCTCTAAACTTAAAAGCCGTGCGCTGAAAATCTCGCCGACTTGTCAGACTATCCGGGCCTTCAATCCCTCATCAGGTGGAGAGACCACATCCGGCTGTAAAGGTGCAAGGGCGGCAGGCGACATCTCTATGGCCACAGGTGC